TCTTCTTCTTCTTCTTCTTCTTCTTCTTCTTCTTCTTCTTCTTCTTCCTCTTCTTCCTCTTCTTCTTCTTCTTCCCTTCCTCTTCCCCACCCTTTCTTTCCTCCTCCTCCTCCTCCTTCTCTTCTTCTTCCTCCTCCTTCCTCTTCCTCTTCCTTTTATTCTTCTTCTTCCTCCTTCCTCCTCCTTCCTCTTCCCCTTCCTCCCTCCTCCCACTCTCTTTTAGCACTGAAGATATTACCTAAATGAAACACCCGCAAGCAAACAACCAAGTTCAGAAAACATCAAAGATCTCCCAGTTCAACCCCGAGCTACAAATATTCTCTTCTATTAACTCAGGATTTGTTTCCTTTTGTGTGTGTGGTCTCCTTTCCGATTCGTCTTAGGTTTTTCAAGCTTGGATGAAGTCACTTCAAAATGTCCCACTTCAAAATGCGCCTTCCAGCATCCGGATGCCTCTAGCCCTATTCAAACACCAGAAATAAAATCCCACTGTTCACATCACAACTTAAAGTTGACAAACTCCCTTAAGGATCTCTATCTACCTGGCCAATAAAATTCCCAAGCTGGGACTTCTGCAGATCTCCCAAGGATCTTATTAAGAGCCTTCCTTTCTTCCTTCTTTTACTTTTTATCTTTTACAGTTATTAGCAGTGGTAGAACACATTTTGCAGTTTTATATGGAAATTCCCTTGTGTTTTATTTCCCAACAGGTGAAGGTTAAACTGAGCATTATTCTCTAAACAAAAAAAAAAAAAGAGGGGGGGAAAAATCTCCATTCCCATAAGATACTTTAATGCTTTAAAAGCCCAATAATAAGCACACTTTTGAAAGTGATCTGTACATTTGAGAGTGAAAATTGAGATGCTGCTAGAAAAGAAAGAAAGGGGCTTTTCTTTGCTGGTCAATAAAAGATTCTCCAGGTGTTTTCTTTTTCATTTCATTTTTTGAGGCTTGGATGACATATATTAAGATGCAAGATTTCTGTGCTGTTGCATGCAGGGCGAGAGAAACATCGCTGAAAAATCCCAGGAAAAGACTCCCATCTGGTAACTGAAGGTCAGAGGTTTGCCTACTTTTGCCTTCCTTTCAAAGGAAGGACTTGGCTGTTTTTATATTACGTTAAGCCATTGTGTAGTTTGATGTTGACCTAGCGTGCTGTGTGAAGGGTAAGCCACGAGCTATAGATTGGGCTATATAAACCCAGCCTATAATATTTTAGGCAAATCGTAGCATAATCCAGTGCAGATTAGTAGTTTTGAGTATTAGAGATTTTAATTGGATACATCTGGACTGAATAGACATTTGCCAATGTGATCTGTCTGTCTGTCTGTCTGTCTATATCTATCTATCTATCTATCTATCTATCTATCTATCTATCTATCTAT